ATTCAGACTTAGATATTAGGCAGGCATTTTCTTGAAAATGAAGTGAGCCTGTCACTTCAAGGAAAACAGCTAAAAGTATCTGTTGCCAATGATAAAATGCAGGCTTTCAAGCAAAAAATAGAATTTTAGAAAACATGTATTCATCAACATAAGCTTGACAGTCTCACAATACCTGAAAATTTCCATCTAAAATCGATGGTGATAGTAATAAACATGATTTTTGATACTGTGTAATGAATGAAATGTGTCAACATTTGGAAGACCTGCATAACTCAGTCAACTGGTCTTTTCCAAATGACCAATGTGTATCATGTCATTCAAAATGTAAGACAAATTGGAGGATTTTAATGTTAACAGTATGAAGTCTATTGATAAAGTTTCAGATTCTACAATGCAACTAACCTTGATGGAAACTACCACTTGTTGAGTTTTGTATAGCAACAAATAAGAATATCTACAATACCTGAAAAGGCTATTAAAATACTCCTCCCTTTTCCAACTACTTATCTGTGTAGGGCTGGATTTTGTTCATAAACCCATGTCAACCAAAACCTCTGAAAAGTGAATATAGAAGCAGGCATGAGAAACCAACTGTCTTCTACTAAGCCAGACATTCAAAAATGCTCCAAAACTGCAACTGATTACTTTTTAACTACAGAAGAATGTGTGCAGAGGAAGGGAGATCAGACTCTCCATCACAGCCCTGTACTGGAGTACAACGCTTAGGTGGAGGTGCCACGTTTTCAATGGAGTACCAACACATTAGAGCACATCCACAGGGCCCCATCGAGAAGGAATATTTTAGAAATTGTGACATAGGGAAACGTCAAAGAATCTAGGACAGGGGTCGGGCAAACTTTTGAGACGGAAGAGCCAATCTTGTCCCTCACAACAAATTTAAAAATTATTCAAGAGCCATAAAACAAATGAAATCACCATTATGCAAATAATATCCTTTAAAAATTTTATAAATGAAACTATGATTAAGTTTTATTTTCATTTTCAATTTTACTTCAGAGCCACATGTACGTACCCAAAGAGCCACACGTGGCTCGCGAGCCGCAGTTATGCCGACCCCTGATCTAGGACATTCAATTTAAAAAAATGACTGATGAAAAAACAGAGGCTGGGCACGCTCTCTTGCCTAATTCTCACTTGTTTCAAGAGGGAAGCTGGAAAACTGGAAGATGGAGCCTGATCTTGGGCTGACAACCCCCCAAACATTCTGCTTTTTATGTTCCAAGCTTCTGGGAAGATTTTTTTGAATTTATTTCATCTTCCTAGAACACTAAAGTTAATTTCAAATAGAAATATAAATGTAAAAAATATACTAAGCAAATTTTTAGAAATCTCACAGGCATTTATATTAAACATTCCAAGCATAAATTCTGCAACAAAACAATAATGTTCAAGGATGAATTATTGGGTTGTCGGAAAAGTCACAATGCATTTTTGCAATGAAAAACAGAGAGAAAATATGTCATGACTTTTCCAACTACCCAATACTTATATTGATTTGTAATACTTATGGTACCCTAGCTGAACAGATTTCTTACTGGAATTTAGAAATATAGCCAGTTAAGTAAAAACTCACTCCAGTTAACAGAACTTTTCCTACTCTACTAATCCCAAGGGAAATAGTTTAAGAATTAAAAAAATTATAAATCAAGAGCTACCAATTCTTAAGCATTTTTTATGTACCAGATACTGTGCCACACACTTTAGACATATTTAATACTCCCAAGAGCCCTACAGAGGAGCTTCTATCTTACATGTGCGGGAAATGAGGCTCAGAGAGGTACAGGAACTTGTTCCAGATCACACAGCTAATACCTGGCTGAGCTGAACGACACTCAAGCTATGCTCTGCCTGATTCTAAAGCTAGGGGCTTTTGCCTGAACTGTCTCCCAGAGACCTCTAAGTACTTGTGATAACACTTCATAGAGGATAATGATTTGGAATCATGCACTGGGAGGCTGGGAGACTGGGGAGTGAAGTTAGACAAAAAAACCAAATAACTTGCCATTTGATAGGTAAACAGGATTTTAGAATAAGCTTTTTCAATACCTTTATTGATCCTGTTATCAGCAAAAATAGTTACGTTTTATACACTGCTTTCCTTACTGTTTTAAGTTAAAATATGCTTAGAAATTTAAACAGAGATGCCAAGCTTAAGTCCTACAAGACTCAAAGTTTAACTCTACCCCCTAACTGGAACCTGATAAAGAATACTTAAGTTTGTAATTTAATCAATTTTTAGCAGGTACCATTTCAGCAACCTCAATTCTTGCTAACTCCAAGTTCCAACCTAATTCTCACAATTGACGGTTTTAGATTAAACACTCAAAAGGCTTCAATGCAGTTAGAAATATAAAATCAGTATTGCTCTACACTTTTTTGCCAATGGCAAATGAGAAACTAGAACTTCAGAATGATAATTTAGCAAATTGCAAAACGAAATACATATAAGATCAGGTACAATCAACTCTTGATAATTTGGAATTTTGTTTTGACTTGCTTTCTGAGCAACAGTGCAGTCCCTGGTTCTCTCCTTGGTTGCAGGGGAGAACTGGAACCAAGTTTTCTATAGGCTGGAAAAATAAAGCAGTTGTCCAACATTGCTTCTTGACAACTGCACTAGTTATTACATTTGACTATAAAATAAACTTACGGGGGATGTATAATTATAAAACCCAAGTTTTTAGATTATGACTACACATTTCAAACCTGCTATTCTTTTCACCTGTGACCCAAGTGGTTTAGAGTCGAGGAATCTTCTCAAGCTAAGGTGTTTTAGACTATAGAGGGAAGGTGCCTTATAAAAGTACCAAATGAAGCAATACAGGCTGAAATTGCCACAGGAGGTCTATCTTCTATAACGCGTAAACATTGTATCTAAACATAAGTAAATAGCAGGGAGACATTTGTTGGTGTGAACATACTTCAAATAACAATTGAAATTATCTTCCCTGAAGAATATCTGGTCAGCTATCTTGCCATTTTGCTAAATTTCAGAGATTCCAATAACTGGTAACTTCTGATCTTACAAAATTAAAATAACATTGATTCTGGAATAGGAAAGCTTTGGCACAGACCATTCCACTACAAGTCTGGTCCTCCGTGAAGTTTTCTGGCCCACTCCAGACACTGTCTACATGAACACACAAATTCATCAAAAGATTTCTAAAACTACTTTTAAGAATCTGAGCAATATTTCCTATGTACTTTTACATAAATATGAAGTCAAATGGAAAATTCCAAGAAGGTCAGATGTAGACGGTGCTTAACAGTAAAGGGACTTAAAAACGTTTTTTTTTATTAGGAAGTTTAGGAGATGTAGAGTGCTAGCTACTGTTCTCTCATATCAGTCTTTGGAGGACATCTGGGCAAATAGGTAACATTTTCAGTTGTCTTTGACATCAAAATGAATAGCACCTTAAGAGAATTTTACTTTTGATTACTTTCTGTTGTTCACAGCACTCCACAACAGTCAAATTTGGTATCCACTAAGTCTAACTTGAACGCCTCAAGTCACCAGAAGAGCTGGCAAATTTGTGAAAAGGCAGAATTAAAAAAAATATAAAAAAATTCCCAGGCTTCAGTCTATGACTCATTGTAGTCCCAAACCAACTAAAACTCCTAGGAACTGCCTTAAATTGAACTACTGTAGAGTAGTTTTCCTGGGTACATCTAAATGGAAGTTGGAAAACAAAACAAAAAAATCCTAGTTATTAAATTTCAAGATGACTTAAGTACAAATTTGATGTCTAGAAACCTATCCCAAAGGCAGTAATTTTACATGCCATGCAGCGTTTCTTTTTTATTAGCAAATAAAATATTCTTTGTAATAACAGGTGGCTCCACTTCCATGTTAGTGTCATGAATGCTATTGGGTACACTCCCGCACCAAAAAAAAGCCTTTGTTCGAGCCATTCCCAAACCAAGGCATTAAAAGATCATTCTTCGCCAAACAAAGATACTTTTGGGATTGAAACCCAGGAGACTGGACACCTCAGTAGGTACTATTGTGGTGTTATCCTGGGAAAGTAATCCTTTCTGTAAAAGCACACAAAGCCAAGTGTGTTCTTGACAAATAGCAAGATGTTCATAGCCTATCTTCTAAGTTCTGTATGAAGTAACTTGCATTAAAAAATAATCCAGTGCAGGTTCCTAGAGTTATTAAATACCATAGTAACTTTTTATTCACTAGCCAAGGATATTTTCTTTTAAACAAGGCGCCTCAATTTCATGTAGTCTGTATATGACCAGAATCTGAATGAGGCTAAATGCGATTCCTTCTCTAGGTCAGAAAGAAATACTAGGAAAAAAATAAAATTTTCTGCCAGCAAGCATGTAGCACCTGCCATTAAGACAGTATGACCCAAAAAATAATTTTAAAATGCTATGATGCATTTGTTTTGGTTGATCTTCCCCCTCGCCGCGTGAATCGGGCCCTCCGCGGCTCCAGCCGCCAAAACCCTGCCTCACACGTAAGGGGAAGGGAATCGTCCCTCTCTCGGCTTCCTGATCTTATCCAGGCGGCTGGCTTGCGGGCGAAGGGGGTCAGGGCGCCTGCTGCGAGGTAAACAACAGGAGGCCGAGGCAGAGACCGGGACGGGAGAGGGGAAGGCCGCGGCCCCCACCCGGCGCTGCAGCAGAGCCCCGTGCTGGCTCTGCCGTACTGGGGGATGGGGTTGGAAGCTGGAGCTCGTCTTCCAGAGCATTCAGTGCCGCTGCGCCCCGGCCTTGCGGCCGAGGCAGGGATAAGAGAAAGGGATCCGCCCCGCGAGCAAGACCCCGGGAGTCTTAACCGCCGCCGCCCCCTCCCCGAGCGCGCCATTTCCAGGCCCCAGCCCTAAGCGCCTCTCCAAGGCCTCCGCCAACCCAGCCCGGCTTCTACCTCTTGCCGCCCCTGTTGAGCGCGGGAGGTCCGCCGCCCCGGGGCCCCCGACTCCGCCCGCCCCCCGTGCCCGGACAGGGCTCGCGCACGCCTGCCTTACCCTCTGCCGCCGCCGAAGCTGCTGTAGGCCCGGTCGTCGTAGGTATCGAAGTCCGCCATTTGCCGTCTCCGCTCCGAGAGGAACCAGGGTGAGCGAGAAAGGACCCCGCAATATAACTCCCCCCACCCCGCCGCTGGGGCTGTCCGCAGCGCCGCCTGATCGCAAATCGCACGCACGCGCGCGCGCGCGCACGTACGCCGCGCCCGGCCTGGGCCGCTCCTGGCCCGGCGCGCTCTGCGGCCCACGTGACGCGGCGGCACTTTTGCACGGCTCCTGGCCTCGCGCCCCCGCCCATTGTGTGCTAGCTCTACGGCTTCACCTGCAGCCGCCTCGTGCCCCCGCCCCGCCCGTGAACGCGAGCCTTGCCCATCCTTGGGAATCTCCGGTGGTTCCTTTCGCATGCTCTGATGGCCGGTCTCCCGACTGGCCTTGGACCCTATGCCGGTCCCGCTGCGCTTTTTTGTTTTCACCTCCAGACCTGTCGGGAAACCCAGAGTCCTCCTCCGCTTGGCCCCACTCTGACACACTCTTCCGGGCCAAGGGATCGCCGGCTAACACCAAAGTAAGGGCACCTCCTCCAGGTTGGAGACCCCAGTGCTGGGAACTCGCTGAGAATGCAAGGGGGCGAAGGACCTGGAAGGGGTGAGATTGGGGTCAGGATCTAAGTGTTCGAGGCGATGGAGATGCAGATATGAATCGCCTTCCAGGGCCTACTCGCAGCCTGAGTATTGGGGTGGGAGTAGGGGGATTGAGGTTAGAGTGTAGGTTGTTGAACAAGCATAAGAGTTGGCACGTCTCACTTTTGCAGAAGTCACTGCGCTGGAAGAGAATTCAATCCTGACGTCCTCAAGCAACTTACTGAACCCCTTTAACGTCTCAATTTTATTTATATAAGGGGAGGATATCACCTACCTTCTCAGTGTTGTGAAGATTAAATGAGGAAATGTTTATAAAATACCTGGTCCACAATAGCCTGCACATTGAGCACCTACCTATTGGGTTGTTGGAAAAGTCACGACGTATTTCTGTTTTTCGTTGCAAAAATGCATCATGACTTTTCCAACAACCCAATACTATGTGTCTGGCAGCATTATAGGTGTTTTGCATATATAATTTCCAAATCTGTTATATAAATGATAGCTATGGAAACCCCTAGAGAGGAAGTAACTTGTCCAGGGTCACACAGCCTTGAACTTAGCACATGGCTTAGAGAAGAATCAATGGGGGCGGCCGGTTAGCTCAGTTGGTTAGAGCGCAGGCTCATAGCACCAAGGTTGCCAGTTCGATTCCCACATGGGCCAAGGAACTGCGCCCTCCACAACTAGATTGAAACAGCTATTTGACTTGGAGCTGATGGGTCCTGGAAAAACACAGTTCCCCAATAAAATTTCTTAAAAAAAAAAAAATAATAATAATAATCAGTGGTTTCTTCTTTCCTGCACAGTTTAAACCTGGACCCTCTCCACATCTCTTTCCTATAACTTAAACTGCGCTTAAGTGCATATGACTAAATGAAAACCTTAGTTACTCTTTCTTCCAGTTTTATTGAGACTTTAATATTTATTACTGAATACCATTACATTTTTTATTCCAAAGTCTCCCAATCCAAAGTCACCTCAAGGTGAGATCCTGGAGGACAGGAACCATGTTGAGCGGGTTCCTTCTGTCATCTCCCACAGAGCTCTACATGAGAAGGGGGTAATTTATAATTAATGAAGTAAAAGGAGGGAAGACTTCGAGGAAGGCCTGTGGCTGAGTCTCTCCCAGCATGAGGCTGTCCTTGGGCCTTCCCCTCCCTCCTGGTTTAATCCCTGTTTCTACCCAGCCAGCACCCAAGGCTCATCTCTTGGCCCATACTCCTAGACCATAGGCCCTCTTTCTTTGCATTGGTTTCCAGAACACAGTCCACCTCCCACCCAGGATCCAGAGGATTGAGGCCAACCCTAGAAAGTTCCATAAACAAGTTGACTGCCTCCATGCTAAATTAGATGTGCAGCCTCTCCTGAGGTGGTTCTCATGATCTCTGACCCTAATTTGTTTCCTAACTCCTTCCCCAGAGTGGGTATCCCAGCCTTTACCAGTGTCCTTGAGCCCTGGGGGTGGGGAAAGGCAACCCTCCTTGAAGGCCCCATGCAGATACTACTTTCTCCGAGAAGCCTTAAGCGTAATGGTGAACCTGTGGATTGCATTTCAAACTGCCTGTGTTTAAATCCTGGCTACACCACTTACTACTAGTTGTGTAACCTCAAGCAAATTGTTTAATGTGTCAGTTCTTTGTCTATAAAAAAGGGATAATAGTCATTGTGATACCAGCTTTCAGTATTCATGCTATTTTTTTAAGTTCTGAAATATTGGTGTTTTGTTGATATAATGTTAACATATCTAAAATCTGAATCATTTTTATGTTGAAATTAAACTCAGTGACTCATATATTCAATTTATGTGAAAAGACACATTGATACACTGCAAATCCAAGCAGATTAACTCCTGTGTGAATCTTAATAATCATCTATATTGAGCTACAGCAAAGCTTCTGTTACAAGCATGAGCATTACTCTAGGTTAAAGACTTCCCAAAACAAGTGAATGTGAATGTGAAAAAAATGAAATTGACACATTGAATCTCCATTTTGATGAAAATAAAGAAGGAAAAAAAGGTACTAAGTATGGTTTCTTCCTAACCAAAACTACATATAGCTCACTAGCCCAAAAAATGTGCAGATTTTGCAAAATAACTCAAAAAACTGTACAAAGAGATCTCAAATATATCAAATAAGAAGTGGAAATATTTGAAGAAGTATGCTTCAACTCTGCCCCTTTGGTCTATGTAGCAGTTACAGTGTTTCTTGTAACCCAAATCAGGGCATGCCATTGCTCTGCTCAAACCCTCCAATCTTCCTGAGTAGGAGCCAAAGCCCTTCCTATGGCCTAAAAGCGCTATGCGGTGTGCTCCCAGCCCGTCCCCTCTTCTCCCCCACCAGTCATCTGCCCAGTCACACTGGCTTCTTTGCTTCTTTTCTCTAGCACCCCAGTCCCCTTCCCACTTCAAGCGTCTGCTTTTATTGTCCCACGACACGCACACGCCACCCACCTTTGCTCCCCTTCCGCCTTTGCTCAAAAGAGCCTTCCCTAACTGCTCTATTTGAAATAACAGCCCCCAATTTTCTCTTTTATGCCCTGTGGTTCTTTTTCCATCCCCTGTCTCACCTGACTTCTCATCTACTGTTTTCTTATTTAATATCTATCTTCCCTGAGAAGGAGTTTGTTTTGCTTGCTGCTTGCTGAGGGAGCCACAGCACCTATGGCAGGGCCTACCTCGTGGAGGGTGATCAGTAACCAAATACTGGCGCTTCCCCAAAAACGGGAACCAGTGAAAATATTTGGAGTCAGATGAAAACCCTTTCTTCATCATCCCACTTCCTCCCATCCCTCAACTTGGGTAGCATTGCAAAGAGCTTCTGCAGCCACAGGAGCTCTTTGGTTAAAAGAACCCCCATGAGTCAGTAATGGTACCATTCATGTGCTTTATTAGTATTTTTAACAGTTTTATTGAGATATAATTCACATACCAGACAATTCACCCATTTAAAATGTACAGTTCAATGGTTTGTAGTATATCCATAGAGTTATACAAACCTCAACACAGTTTTAGAACATTTTCATTACCCAAAAGAAACCCTGTTTCCCTTAGCCTTATTTCTCTAATCCCTCCTCCCGCCCACCAGAGCTAGAGGCTAACTAATCTACTTTTCTGCCTTTGTACGAGGTGTGATCAAACAATACTATGAATGTTTAAATTAAAATAATTTATTACAGTGAAGACACATCGCTATTAATACCCCTTGCTTCGAACACACTTATCCCATCATTCTTACCACTTTCTGAGGCAGTTCTGGAAGCCCTCTTTCGTGAATGTCTTTAGCTGCGTTGTTGTGGCTGCCTCGGTGTCCTGAATCATTTTGACTTTAGAGAAGAGCCAGAAGTCACATGGTGCCAGATCCGGTGAATAAGTGGATGAGACACGCTGTAATGTTTTTATTTGATGGAAATTGCTGTATACCAAAAGCGATGTGTGCCATGGAGCCTTTCCGTTGTGATCACAAAATACAGTGAATAATACTGCTGCTGAGTGCCATCCAATGGAAAGGTAGGGATCCTCAATAAGGAAAATGGCGTGACGAACCTTAGTAACAGTGTGTAACAAGTTTCAGCTTGTTTGGTGCAGTCAGTCGGGTGTGAGCTATAGTTGAGACAAGGTGTGTTTTAAAGTGTGCCGTAAATCATCCATCATGACAATGCTCCATGTCACACATCGCTTCTGGTATGGCAATTTCTGTCCAATAAAAACATTACAACTCATTGACGTTATTCACCGGATCTGGCACCATGCGACTTCTGGCTCTTCCCCAAAGACAAAATGATTCAGGACATCGAGGCAGCCATGACAGCACAACTAAAGACACTCACGAAAAAGGACTTTCAGAACTGCTTCAGAAAGTGGCATGAACGATGGGATAAGTGTGTTTGAAGCGAGGGAGAGTATTTTGAGGGGGATTAAAGGCAATGTGTCTTACTCTAATGATTTTTTTTAATTTAAACATTCACTGTATTTTTTTATCACACCTCAGATTTGCCTATGCTAGACATTCCATGTAAATGGAATCATACATTATGTAGACCTTTGTGACTGGCTTTTACTTAGCATAATATTTTCAAGGTTCATCCATGCTGTAGCGTGTGTCAGCACTTCATTCTTTTTTTATTGCCAAATAAATTTCCATTGTATTGGTATACCATATTTTATTTATCCATTCATTAGTTGATGGACATTTGAGTTGTTTCCATTTTGGGCCATTATGAATAATGTTGCTTTGAACAATCATGTACAAGTTTTTGTGTGGACACATGTTTTCCCTTTCTTGAGTATATACCTAGAAATGAAATGCTGGATCATAACGTAACTGTATGATTAACTATTTGAGGAACTTCCAGACTGTTTTTCCAAAGTGGCTGCACCATTTTACATTCCTACCGGCAGTGTGTGTGGGTTCCAGTGTCTCCCCATCCTTGCCAGCCCTTGTTATTATGTGTCTTTTTTATTACAGCCATCTTATGGATGTGAAGTGGTATCTCATGGTGGTTTTGATTTACTTTTTCCTGATGGTTGTGAATATCTTTTCATGTGCTTATTGGCTGTTTATATATCTTATTTGGAAAAATATGTATTCAGATCATTTGCCCTTTTTATTTATTTAGTGGTTTGTTTTTTCTAAGCTTTTTTTTTTTTTTTTTAGTTTCAGGTCTACAGAAT